CACCTGGGTCCCGCTAGCTCGCTCCGCTCGTCGAGAGAGTGTTCGCTCGGTTCATTCAACACCGAGCGTTCCAACAACCTTCCCACCTCACTCACACTTTGTTTACTGTTCCCGTAGACGTGTATTTTCGCTGTATCGGTGTGCAGTGGTCCCCGGTTTTACTGTCTCTGGGGTTGTGCTCCGGTGCCATAGGGCGCAGTGGGGGGCCATTTTCCGGAGTGACCGAGCTTGACCTTCTCGTGATTGGCCAGGGGCGCAGCAGTTTTCTCTCTTAAATTATGGTCTTGGAGATACGCTCCGGGGTGTGGGTGCCGAGTTACGGTGCGTTTTCTCCTCAAGGTGCGACGCTTCTATGCTATATGCCAAACCACTGTCGCTCTTCACCCATGGGGGTCTAGCTCATCGGTAGAGCGCTCGCTTAGCATGCGAGAGGTGCAGGGTTCGACTCCCTGGTCCTCCAAAGATCCTTCTTTTGTGTCTGCGGATCCTTTTTGCGGTGAGGGGGACATCTTTTGCGGGAGACGTGTGAAAATCCAAGTGGCTATGCATAGCAGTTCGACTCTCAGGGAATACCCGAATGCAGCTGTCTATGGTCAACCGGCTACAGGAGTCCTTGTGGCAGAGCTTATCAGTGATTTAAACTGCTGAACATACTTGTTCATGAGGCCACAGCGGATTCTTCAGAGGCAGACGAAGGAGTCTCTTTCAGATCTGGCCAACTGCTGCTGACTTCGAGCCGCTCAGAAACAAAAGTTGTGCTGCTCTAACTACAGCAGGGCCAGCCTCACCGGAGTTTCGAGGGAAAAAAGAATTGACCACGCTGGGGCTCGAACCCAGAGTCTCCTGATATACGTTGAATCGTAGTCAGACGCCTTGCCATTGGGCCACGCGGCCATCGATGTTAGCGCTTTGAGGTTTGCAATATACTCAGCTCATCGAAATTCAAGCGGACTGCAGCACCCGCGGAACTTGATGTGGCCTCGCCTGATCGGCATGTACGCAGGAACACTTGGCTATGATGTGCCAGCAATGCCCCAGCGCCATTCAACGGACATGCCAGGCAACAGATCACAGGGGAAAGGCTTCTGCAGCATCCGATGCCTCGAGAACTTCTCTTGCAAATGGCCCACACCAGCAACGGTGATTAAACGGAATTGCCCACAAAAAGATCTCGAGTTCTTCCACCAGCCAACAAGCCGCTTGAAAAGAATGCAAAAAGACATGGCGCTTTCCGGGATTGAACCGGAGACCTGCAGAAGTGCAGCTCGTATAAGAAGCTTCAGTCTGTCGCTCTCCCAACTGAGCTAAAGCGCCTTTGATGGTAACTTGCGTCATCAGTTGTCAATAGTACAGGCACGTCGCGTGAACCATGACGGGCGACTTGACCGCAGACAGATCCCCGTCCGGCGACGCGCCGCCGACACGCGCATCTGCCCCCAAGTCCGCATCGAGGATGGGGCTCGCCCCACCATTGCAGCAGGTGCTGGACAACTTGCTGTCCTCGCTGTACAACCTCCAGACGGCAGCGCCCGGCGGCCAGAAGCGATACTACTCTGCCATCTTTCGCGACCTCCCGGACCGACGCCTCTACCCAGACTACTACATCGTGATCAAGGAGCCGCGATGCCTCCACGACATCATGGTGCGCTACTTACCCCAGCGCTCGACAAGGCGCTGCTCGGCCTCCAACCTCAGGCCTCGTCCTCCCCCCCCGCTTCCTGCTAAGTCTCAAGTCGAACAGCTCCAAACTGACCCGCGGCATATCCCACTGAACAGAACAACATGCACCGCAACCTCTACTCGTCTCCGCAGGCAGTCGCGTACGACCTGTTCCTCATCTGGTCAAACGCGCGTGAATACAACGAACAAGGCAGTCTCGTCTACGCAGACGCGGACAAGCTCGAGGTAAGGCCCGTGGCGGTTATAGCTCTTGCGAAAAAGAGGTCAACAGCAGCACTGACGCGACGCGTCAGTCCTTCATGGAGCGGCTTTGGCGCGAGCGTTCTCCGCCTCTTCCAGCCTACGAGACGCTCGTCCGGCCCGGCCAAGCTCCGCCCGCTCAAGCACCGTTCGCATCCGCCGCGGTCGCCAGTCCGAGGGAGCCGGAACGCAAGGTGAAGCGCATCAAACTCACCGGGTCGCTCGCCAGCTCGACGGCGGGTTCTGCTGCCACCACAGCTCCCAGTCCGAACCCGCAACTGGCCTCCACGATCACAGCGCAACCCGCTCCGGCACCATCCCTTACGGTCAAACTCGGCGGAGGGAGGCTCACGCCGTCGCTAGCTTCGACCTCTCAGTACGCCGATTCTTCCGCGGTGGCTTCGACCTCTCGGAGCCCTTCCGCGGCTGCACCGGGACCGCAGAGCGCACGCCAGGATAGTGAAGATGCCACTGTCCGAACGGGAGGAGCAGCAGCAGAGGGTGCGACTGGAGAAGAGACCAAGCCGCCCTCAATACCGACCATTCCCGACGTGGAATCCGGTTGGCTCAGCGGCCCTGCCGTACGTTCCTCCCGAGACCCACAAACGCGCGACTCATACACGAACTTATCTAGCTCTATCCCGCGCAGGACGAAACAATGCTGCTGGGCATTGTGGATCGTTTGCGAACCTACACCGATGTCAGGTGCGTCGGGGAAGCGTTGCCGCCTTCTCGAACCTGTCCTCACCGCGCTCCTCGCACAGCGGACGACTGCTCGCGACGCCCCTGATCGATGTACCGGAGCCAGCATCGCGACCGGACTACTACGAGTTGGTCAACCCTCCCATCTCGCTCAAGACGATCGATGTACGCGATTTTGCTCCGCGTCGCAGATGGCTGGCACTCACGAACTTCCTCCCACCAAACAGGCGAATATCCGCGCGCACGCGTACGCATCTGCAGAGGCGTGCGACCGTGATCTGCATCGTCTCTTTGAAGTCGCCCGGCTCTTCATCCGCCCAGATTCTCCGGGCAACGTGTACAGCGACCTGATGGTTCTGCAGGTACACGATCTCTCTGTGCCCCCATTATCGCGACCCGGCTGTAACTGACGCAGAACCGTCCATGCAGCGCCTCTACCAAGAGCTCACCAAGAATGCTTCGTCGGCGGATCGGGCGGCGGAAGCGGAGACGGCAGCGAGTCTGTCCTCCGTCAGCGGAGGCCCCGGCAATGTGCAGCACGCCAAAGGCGACGAGGCAAGTCACGGGACCGACTTCAAGAGCAAGGCAACGGCGCGGCCCACCCTGCGCGACAAGATCTTCCTCGACAGCATCCATTTCAAAGGCCACACGCTCCGGACAGGCAAGGCGCACACCCTTCGAATGAACAAGGATCTGAACCGTTTGCTGATGCCGAACCGCACGAACAGGCGATTGGATCCACCTGCTCAACCCGGACGCGCCGGGTAAACCGATCATTGCCCAGATCTGGAAGACGTACAAGCGGCCCGAGTAAGCTCTCAATCTCGGCCCACTGGCGCCCACGTCGCTGATCCAGCGTTCCTTACCTTTCCCAGCTCACCGCAAAGATGTGTCAGCGTATGCTGGTACTACCGCGTGAGGCATGCCATGTTTTGATTCGCTCAGCCGCCTTTGACTTAAACCTACTGCATCATGTCTTGCAGCCCGAAGAGACTGTTCACCCGGTCTCCCGCACATTCTACGAAAATGAGGTGTTCAAGACGGGCGTCTTTGTCGATCAGTAAGCCCATCTTGAACCGAGCGACGCCAAATGCCGTAACTGAAGGGGGCACACCGCTCGCAGCAACATCGAAGACTTCCTCGGTACCTGCTTTGTGATGTTCTTCACTCGATACACTCGCGGGCGTCCGAAATCATGGGACGCGTCGATGCCCCTCTACGTTTGCGAGCACCGGTACAAGGACGACATCAAACAGTTCAAGAAGATCAAGAGCTGGTCTTCTTGCATCCCGGAAGAAATCCGCGCGCACGAGTACGATTTCGAGCCGTACGCCGACGGGCACGTCGATCAGCTGGCCCGCGTCAAGAGTCCGTTCGTTCGTGGAGTACCAGGCCCAGGTCGACTCGACTCGACCGGCCCGCACCAAGTGGCGGCCTCGTCGCCCTCGTATCGCTTCTCTAACGAAGGCCGACCGCAGACGGCCGAGGAGGCTCGGAATGAGACGATGGCCGGCGGCGCAGCAGGCGAGCAAGCTGGGGCCTCGGGGGATGCCAGCGCCACTGCACACAGGTCTCCGAGCACGGCCGCCGGTGCTTCGCTTGCGGTCGCACCCGCCGACTCGACGACCGATGTTCTCGTCCTGCCCGCCGCCTCCTTCCAACAAGTCGCCGGACCCTCGTTCGACCTGCAAGAAGCGAGCCTTCCGGCCTTTGCCGCCTACCCAGCCCACGCTGCCGGGACCCCAGCAGAGCTCGCTGCGAGCGCAGAGGCGTATGCACCACTACCAGCGAGTTTGAGTAAGTACCAGTTATCTGCTTGCCGATTCCGCTTCAAATATTCAAGAACTCAGGCGGCTGACCGCTCCCGCTCCTCGACGAGCAGAGACCAAGTTCCGCGGGGACGCTCTCGGCGAGCTGCTCTGGTTTTCCGCGCCCGCTGCAGTCGTTCCGAGCGTGACACGGCCGTCGCATTCTTTGGCATACCTCCTGTGGCAGACTGAGCGCGGGTCGACGAGCGCGTGACCGTGAGTGAAACACAGCATAATTTCAATCCTGTCCGAATTGCACGAGACTATTACGGCTAGCGTGGTAGAGACGCTCGAGTGGGGAGCACCATACTGCACAAATTGAGTGAAAATCACGGGCACATGCGTGCTGGGACGGGCAAGTAGAATAGACCTTTACTGCTCTTCGAGCCTCACATCATCGGCAAGCAGCTGAGCTGCTTGTTTCGCGAGCTTTTTGCGTTTCCTGCAGGAGTTCGCTTAGAGTGAGTACTACGAGCGAGGTCGCTGCTCCGAGCAGCGCAAGAGATACCCACCGTTTTGTTTCGTACTCCTGAACGCTTTTCAAGAGCGCCGGTTGGAGGTACATGAGTTCGGGTGGGAGCGTCTCGCCGCTCTTGAGGCCACGCAGGAACCGCTGTCGAACTTGATGGTATGCGCGCGTCGGGCACAACTTTGCGACGCTGTCCCAGGCGCAGCCGCATTGGATCACCGCTCGGATGAGGGCTTCGTCTTCAGAGATATTCCACTGATCGCGGACGGACGGAGAGAGAGAGAGACGCGGTTAGAAACAGCGGGAACGGCGCTCGAAGGACGCGCACTCACCTTGATGTACGGACTGCGGGCCTTCTTGCCGTCCGGCCCGACGCTTGACGCGCTCCTGCTGCGGGCTTTGGCCTCGGGATCTGCCTTTGCTTTGCCTTTGCTGCCTTTAGCAAAGGTCGAGTTCGCTTCGTCGGCGGGCAAGTGGGCGTAATCGGCGGCCTCCTGACTTGCGCTCGCCTGGGCGAGTACGTCGAGAGCGGACAATCTTTGCCCGAGCGGTTTGCCGGCTCTCGTGCCAATCGGACCGGCGGCGGCGACGGCGAGGTCAGACGACGTCGATACGGTGGTAAAGATTGCGGGGGGCGAAGGCAGGTGATCGAGATCCTCGTGCGAGACGCCGCGAGAGAGCCAGGCGCCTGAACCGTCCTCATCGGAATCGGCTCCGCTCAGCGCACTCGGATCGGTGTCGTGGTCGTCGTCGTCGACGTCCTCTGAGTCATGACGAGGGAGCGGTTCCGACGGCACACGAGCCTTGGACAAGCGCTTGCTCCGGCGATCAGGCGATGCCGCTTCCGTCGACTTGCGACGCCGCTTTTTCGATCCCGAGTCCAAGCCGGCGAAGCCGAGCGGAGGAGGAGGCAACACAGTCGCGGGCGCCGGAATCGCCAGCTGAGGTACCGGCAGGGGCGGGAGCACAACGTTTTCATGCGAAGAGACGCGGGCGAGCTCGAGCAGACCGTTCGTCTTCTCCTTGTCGAGCGCCTTTGACCCACTCGCAGTAGTAGCCGACGACGATGTAGAAGGGTCGGGAAGCACCGACGTCGAGTTGCGCGCCCTTGGTGGGGCGGCAACAAACGCGGGTGCAGCAGACGTCGTGGCCGCCGAAGCATCATCGTTCGCCGAGATGAGCGGCGCCGCTCTGATGATCTCTTGCGCCTGCTCGACAATGACACGCGAGAGAGGGACTCGGTTGATGCGGTTCACGTGCGAGTGCACCTTGGCGGCCTGGAGGAGCAGCTCTGCCTCTGCGTCACCGAGCTGGACGTGACGCGGTCGGCCCGGCGGGAACTGCCTCGCCTCGACGGGTTGGGGCGGCGACGTCTGCGCCGAGACGGGGGGCGAAGGCAGTGCGAGCTCGTGGTC